GCTCTTGGATGAACTGCATGGAGCAATGGTGTTCTCCAAGTCGGATTTGAAATCAGGTTATCATCACATCAGAATGAAGGAGGTCGATGTTCAAAAGGCGACTTTTAGGACACACGAGGGGCACTACAAGTTTCTAATGATGTCGTTTGGGCTAACTAACACCCCTGCTACTTTTCAGGCCTTGATGAATAGGATGTTCCGGTCATACCTCTAGAAGTTCGTCCTGGTTTTCTTTGATGACATACTGCCATACTGGTGTACAGTAATACAGTAAGATTGAAGAGGAGCATCTGAAGCACTTGAGGGTGGTTTTAGGAGTTCTCAGAAGCATCAGCTAAGGGCCAACCTAAAGAAGTGCAACTTTGCACAGGTTAGTGTGGAGTACTTGGAGCATGTGGTGTCCATGGAGGGAGTGTCGACTATCAAAATTGAGGCAATGCAGAAGTGGCCTCTACCTAAGAACCAAAGGGAGTTGAGGGGTTTCCTAAGATTAACTGGTTACTACCAGAGATTTGTGAGGGTATGCAATGTCATAGTTTGACCCTTGACTTAGAAACTGAAGAATGATAGCTTCTTGTGGGGAGAGGCAGCGACAATGACTTTTGAGAAACAAAAGAAAGCCATGACTACAATCTTAGTTTTAGCTCTCGTAAATTTCAGTCAGGTTTTGGTGGTGGAGACCGATGCATTAAGATATGGGTTGAGGGTCGTACTTATGCAAAACCATAGACTTGTATCATACGACAGTCAAGTAGTATCATCCAAAGCTAGGCTAAAATCAATATATGAGAGGGAGTTAATGGCCATTGTGTTGGCTATTCTGAAGTGGCACCCTTACCTGCTGGGTCGGCATTTCATTATCATGACAGATCAGATGCACTTGAAATACTTAGTAAAGTAAATGATGGTGACTGAGAAGCATCAGAGGTGGTTGTCCAAATTGCTAGGCTATGACTTTGAGATCCAGTATAAGCCATGTTTGAAAAATAAGACGGCTAATGCTTTATCAAGATGTGTTGGGGGGGCTCTAGGAGATGGCAATTTCAGTAGCACTGATGGTAGATTGGGGGGATATCAAAGCAGAGAGTATGTAGGATGAGGAGTTGAGGAACATTAAGGAGGATTTAATGAAAGATACGAGTAGCCATCCTGGGTACTCACTTGAGGGGGAGAGGCTCTTACATCAAGGGAGGTTTGTGATGCCACGAACTTCCATCCATATTTCCCACCTACTACAGGAATTCCATGGGAGTGCAGTTGAAGGCCAATCTAGGATACATAAGACATACAGGAGACTGGTTGCTGAGTTATACTGGAGGGGAATGCATAAGAATTTGTAGGAGATGGTGACAAGGTGTGACATGCGCCAGAGGAACAATTACATGGATATGACTCCATGGGGGTTACTTAAACCCTTAGCACTTCCAAATAGGGTATGGAAGGAACTGTCCATAGATTTTATAGATGGTCTACCACGATCGGAAGGATTCACAGTCATTATGGTGGTGGTGGATATACTGAGTAAGTACGCACATTTTATCCCCTTACGACACCCCTACACCGCAATGACAGTGGCAACAACATTCATTAGGGAGGTGGTTATATTGTATGGGATTCTTGAGTCGATAGTTTGTGATCGAAACAAGGTGTTTCTCAGCAAGTTTTGGAGGGAGTTGTTCAAGGTACAAGGAATAGTTCTTATGAGAAGAATTGCTTACCACCTGCAGACAGACGAACAAATGGAGGTTGTCAACAAAAGTCTGGAGACTTACTTGAGGTGCTTTGCTTCTGAAAAATCGCGGATATGGACCAAGTGATTAGTATGGGCCGAATATTAGTACAATACCTCATATCACTCAGCGTCTCAGATGACCCCTTTCAAAGTTCTGTATGAAAGGGAACCCCACACTTAGTGCAGTTTGGGAAAGGAAGCAGACCAGTTTCGTCAGTAGAGCAGTACTTGGAGGAAAGGGATAGGGTGTTGGAGGAGTTGAAGAAACATCTGTTGAGGGCACAACAGATCATGAAGAAGTAGTCATATGCGCATAGGAGAGACATCCAGTTTGAAGAGGGGGATAAGGTGTTCTTAAAACTGCGGCCTTACAGACAGAGGGCAATGGTCAACAGAAGAAACAGGAAATTTTTCCCGAGGAACTTTGGCCCCTATGACATATTGGACAAGATTAGAGCAGTTGCATATCGTTTGAAACTGCCCCCATCCACCACCATGCACCCAGTCCTCCATGTGTCATAGTTGAGGAGAGCTCTTGGGGAGCATGTAATTAATGTAGATTTACTAGCAACTTTGACAGAGAAATTGGAAGTCATCTTAGAATTACTGGAGCTGAAAGGGGGTGTGGTCAGATAAAGAGGTGAACAAATAAGTGATTATTAAATGGAGGGACCTTCCTGACTTCATTGCTACTTGGGAACCATATGAAAGGGTGAAGCTTCAATTTCCCTCATTTCACCTTGAGGACAAGGTAAGTCTTTGGGAGGGGATAATGTTAGGCCAACCCAAGCTGAATTGGTCCCTCCTTGACCAGTTCTTTGCTACAGGAGATAGGCCCCTAAAGGGGGGCGGCACAGGGGTGGGGACAAAGCATTGATCGGAGCATGGGTTTCGAGGGAAAATTCAAATGTGTAGGCTATTTAGGGAAGTATTAATTAACATTTCCTTTTGACTAAGGTTAGGGTTATCTTGAATTTGGGCCGAAATTTGAGATTTCTTGTGTTTGCTTTTGGGGGCTCTAAGCTTATGTTAGAGATTTGGAGAGTTAAATTTTCTTCTTGAATTGAAGATTCATTGAATAAGGTTGTTTTTTTCAATTATTAGTGAATTTCAAGTGTTGTTTTTGGGATTACTCTACAGTTTTCATCAAAATATGCTCAAACTTGTTGTTTTTCTCTGAATTTCTGCAAATGTTCCCTGTTTTGATGGTTGTTTTCTATCAGAGTTCTAGGAGAAAACTAGCAAAAACTAATTGCAAGAAAGGAAGCGAAGACCAAAAATAAGTTATTCATCAAAAAAAAGAGGCATGGAGAGTTGGGTATTGCATGTTCAGTGAGGAGGAGGGCCGACTAATGCTAGGGGTAGACTTACGAATATATTCGGGGACTATTTAAGGGTTTAGAATTTGGATCAGGGAAAAACTATGGTTAAATACATTGCTAATAAATCTCGGGATAAAGTTGGGCTATAATACCTAAGGATGTAGAGTCATGGTGGAAGATTTGGAGAAGCCTTAAAGAAGTTGAGGAAGAGAGAAGAAAAGAGGCAATGAAGAAACTGGTTGCACAACCTAGGAGAAGGGACAACTAATGCAAAGCATCAAATATGCATTCCATTACTCATAATTCACTAACATTAGGTCCTTTATTTATGTTAGATGATCCTACAAGATAAAACTAAATAATTAACTTATTCAAAAGTTTAAACTAACGAAAATAATATCCCACGATAATTAAATTAAAGACACATAAAGACTAAATATGAACAAAGAAAAAAAATACAATGAAAAGGACAATGAAATTCTATGTCATTAGACATAATCCATATTAGTTCTAGAATTATGGATATATTGACACAGAAAATTGATACATATTGTGAGGGTGATTTATTAAGAAAATAAAAAACCATTGTACCATAATAATTCATAGCAGTTTTAGCATACTTAAAAGGTATACATATCTTTTATCAACTAATGTATATACCAATGCACTGGGAATGAAGAGCAAAAGTTATAAACTTACACATTATGCAGCTTTCTTATTTCTATCTCAAGCTTCTTACCATCTGAAATAAACCCCTAATCTAACAACAGCCATATCCAACTATAGCTTTATCATTATCACCAGCAAATTAACTAATTCTAACTTTTTGCATAAGTTACACCAAAAAACAACACTAAACTTATAAATCCCTATGATGCACCGACACAACACTTAAAGAGGGTATGCAGTGTCGGACAGGTGTCGGACACGGACACACGTCGAACACGGCATGGACACGTGTCCGACACGACATTGGAGTGTCGCAATTTAAGAAATTAAAATTAAAATCGGACACGCGTGTCCAGTTATTATATGAGGTATCGCTAGGTACATGCTCGGTACCGCTCAGTACATGCTCGGTACCGCTCAGTACATGCTCGGTACCGCTCAATATATGCTCAGTACCGCTCAGTACATGCTCAGTACCGCTAAGTACATACTCGGTATTGCTCAATATATGCTCGGTACCACTTGGTACATGCTCGGTATTGCTAGATACATGCTCAATACTGCAAGGTACATGCTCGGTACTGCTAGGTATATGCTCGGTACTGCTAGGTACATACTCGGTACCGCTCAGTACCACTAGGTACATGCTCAGTACTGCTAGGTATATGCTCGGTACTGCTAGATACATGCTCGGTACCATTCGGTATCTTCCCATACAAACAACTTACGAACTTTAAAAACAAGCAGAACTTCAAAATTACTCTTACAATAAAATTTTGTTCCGGGGGCGCTGCCCCCGGAAACCCCGGCAGAGGCGCTGTCCCTTGACCCCGCGACCTAACCGGGCAGGTCGAACACCGTCAGGGGGCAGCGCCCCCTTGGACCCCCGGCAGACTGGTATATTGTTGTATTCATGTTGTCTTATTATTGGGATATTTTGATTTCACTTCATATCAATTTTATTTAGTGTATTCATATGTATGATTGGTTTGTTAGCAAAATGAGCACTTCTACTAGCGGGGGTGGATTAAGTGAAGGTTCAAAAGAGTCATCTGTCCACGCCGTGTCCGTGTCTTATATTTTTAAAAATTATTATATATTATATTAAAAAAATATTATGTTGTGTCCACGCTGCACCCCTGTCCTATATTTTTAAAAATTGTCGTGTCCACGTCGGTGCAACATAGATAAATCCATTCAGAAAAAAAAAAAGTGTAGTCATTTAAAAAGCCATTCGAAGAAATAATTTCGATAGTTCTTAAGTGCGCAACACATACCACAATTACATAAGCACCCATGTCGACGCTAGGAGTGTAAGTTGCTAGGTTCTTTCCTCTTATATGCACTGCAATCGTCGAAGCCATCCTTCCAAGGATCTTATCAGTTGCATCTACTATATACCATGTCTTTTTGGTGGTTATATGATCTGCTGCCTTAGGGTACCAAGTCTTGTTCCAGATATCCTGCAGGCACATACTTTTCCTAAGATCAAAATTTCAAAATAACAACGATAGAACAAACAACATTGCAAGCATAAACTAAATTCATCAAATGCTAACAATAGTAACAGAAAACATTTTGTAATATACGAGAAGATGACAAATTAGTAGGAGAATAGGAAGCAGCAGGGATTACAGGTCCATTAATCTCGGACTCCTCGAACATCCACCGCTGCTCCTGGGGAATAGCTGGTAGTTGCTGCTGCTGCTGCTGACAGCAAACAGAGAGCTTGTGCCTAAGAGGAAAAGAAGAAATCAGAAGCGAGGGTTTCGAGCGAGGGACGAAGAATTTGGCAAGAAAAGTGGTTCTCGGAAGAGCGACGGCAGTCGCCGGCGATGATAGGGAAATGTCGTTGAAGAAATAGCCCATTGTTGCGGAGAAAGAGGGAACGGTAGGTATCGCTGCCGCCATTTTAGTAGCTCCGACAAGATGAGGAGAACGATGACTCCTCTCAAGTGAGGAAGTCCTGTTATCAGACTGAGAGGATAAGGCGAGAGATGTGAAGAGTGTTAGGTGTTCCTACAAATTATGACTAGGGTAGTAGGGTGTAACAAGATTGAACCCGCCGGATTGTAAGGGTCACTTTAATTTATATTTTTACTTTTTCTTTGCGTTTATTTAAGAAAAAAATATTTAGCTGATGTATTTTGTATTCTTTTGTTTTAAAAATATTTTTTTAATATTAAGAATAATTTTTAAATATTTTGAGTATTATATAAAAAAAACTATCAAAACCGTCCACCAGCGAGGCGAGCCAACTTGCGGGCAGAGCTTATCGAGCCAAGAGCTTGAGCTCAAATTCAAGCTTGTTTATTAAATGAGCTCGAGTTCAAGCCTGATGAGTCTCGGCTCGTCGGCTTGAATCACTATTAATATCTAAAAAAAATAAAACTTCTGCTCAACTTAAATTGTCGCTCAAAATTAAACTACCATAGTTCAGCTCGACTTAAAACTCCCGCTCTAATGCAACGCTCGAGGCTAACAATGTCACAACAATGAGGGTGATGATGACATCAGAAGATCAATGATCTACGGTCACGATCTACTTTTGATTATTATTGTATTTGATGTATTTTGTTTTATGTTTCATGAGTCTATTATATTATTTTCTGTTTATGCCCTTGCTTAAGGGCCTCGTCATGTGTTTGCCTTAGGGGCAATTGTGTCTTTGTATTTTCTTTATTTCGTTGGCTATTTAAAGCCTTCCCCTCTTCATGTAAGGATGATGAATTATTGAATAAAAAAAAAAGTTTGTGCTTGTTTGATATCTTAGTGAGTTCATGAGAGGAGAAGTTCGAGGAGGGTGATTTGCAATACCCGTCAATCTTTGGAAGAATCCAAGATTCGCGGTTCTTACGATCTCTTTGTGAGTTCGTTATTTTACTTTTATCTTATTTGTTTTTATTTCATCTCCTTCCTTCCCCTCTCCGTCCACCACCAAGTGCTTAGCCTCCACCATCCAATCCCTCCACATGCTCCACCACCGGCTTCACCTCATCCTTCCCCAACCAAATTCTCCCTAACCCCACCACCATGCCGCCGGCCCTAGTACCCACCCACCATTAATGATGGTTAATGTCATCATCATCACTTGCCTAAATAACCTACCTTGATTTAGGAAGAGAACTCCTCAATTTGAAATTAAAATTTTGAAATTCAAATTCTTTCAAAATTAGGAAATTCAAATTAGGAAAGTTTCTACGTTGAATCCAGTTTTAAAATAAATCAAATTGGATTTAATATTTTTCTTTCCTAGTCATCATCACCTATTTGGAAACCCCCTCTCATCCTCCCCAATCCCCTCCCTCCTCTTAGATGTCGCCGGCCCCATGATGGGTTCCCCCTTGAATTCCCCATTAACCTCCCAATTACATCTTTCCTTATTTGGCTCCTTGTATTTTAGAAAATGATTTGAATTCAAATTCAAAATAATTTGAATTTCATATGCTTTCTATTTATGTCTAAGCCTTGAAGGAAATTTCTCTCCATCACCCTAAATCTAAGATTAATTCTCATATTTAGTCATTAATTATAATTCATTGTGTGGTCCACATTCATTGAATGTGGACACAATCCCCCTCCTCACCCCTATAGGCCGGTCCACTCATCCCTCTCTCTTATTAATTCTAGCCATTATTACTCCCTCCAAATTAAGCCCCATTGAAATTCAAATTGAGCCTATTTCCCTCCAATCCGTCTTAATTAAGAATTAATAACAAGACAAGCAATTAAACCACCACCTCCTTCTCTCTCTCCCTCCTAATGCCGCCAGGCCAGGCCCTCCCCTTTTCTCCTTTCCTGCCCCTTTCTCTTCCCTAGCCTCCACACTTATTTCCACAGGAAGAGAAGATCTCAGGGAAGTTTTATAGCCCTTACACCACCCTCTTTCCCTTCCAACGGGTCAACAAGGTCCAGATTTTCCCTGATTGAGCTACTGTCCAGGATTCTGGAAGAAAGAAACTTGCTGTCCAGAGTTCTCCGCAAGTCCAAACTACTGTCCACTCCGCCAAGGCTGCTGTCTAGAAAATTCGGCACTTGTTCTTTGCTGTCCCGCCATTTGGAAGGGCTCCCGAGGGCTGTTTGAGATAGCTGGAAATATCAAATAGCTGTCCACTACTTCCCCAACACCCCAACCACCAACGTGACTCCACATCGTCTTCTACGGGTGAACTCCTTACCAACTCTTGTATGTTCTTAGTTTATTTCTCGAATGTGGTTGTAACTTGACTCATGAATATTATGTTAATATTTTCTCTGCTAAAGCCTAGTGAATTAAAGAGTTGAGTGAGTGGACACTCCTAGTGATTAATCTCATTGTTAGTCTATGGATATTTGTTGAAAATCATTCATGTACTCAACGTTAGATTGACTTGATTGTTATATGATCTTAACTCTTATGCTTGTGATTCAGCCTAAGTTTATTTTATCGCCTTATTGTTTTATCTTAGCGTCTAAATCGGCATAAATTTTGTTTAATATTGTTCTCTAAAAATTAAGCATGCAAATTCCTTAAAGCAACTTATCGTCGCATGTACGTTCGACATAAGAGGGGCTCGAGGTGCTACGGACCACGTTACTATGAGGCAGCGGTGAGCGGACGATGTGGAGGTTCCCGAGTTCACGACTGCATGGCAATGAACGAGGCAGAGTTTAGCCAGAGGCTCGCGATTTGGCTCGAGCTCGTTTACAGGTGGGACAAGTTAAGTTCGAGCTCATCTTTTGAGCTCGAGCTCGAGTTCGTGCCGACCTTCTGACTGACGAGCCAAGCTCGATAAGACGACTATTAGACTTGTTTACACCCTTAACCATCAATCATCAATGTTACCCATTGTCAGTCATCTTTTACTAAATCAAATCGAGAATTTCGATATTAACATGACATAATAGAGAAAAAAAAATTATATAGCAACCTCTTGTAGCGGGATAAAGGCCTCTTCTTGTTATTATTTTTTATTGGATACTAAATGAATCAATTTGTTAGATGATTCTAACTAGAAAAATTAAATTTGAGCGTAAATTGATAAGTTCAAGTTCAAGCTGGATTTGATCTTCACTTGACTCTCTATACCTCTAATTGTGGATATCTGGAAGTACAAGGAGTTAGTCGATAGAGGCCTGGGCGTGGTCTTGTTTGGTCTCGGGCTTAAGCCCACTAACCCTCATTACTATATACTTAACTTCATTTAATAAACACAAACAAAATCAAAGTCTTATGAGACTTAGGTTTCGTTTGAGATAGTTTTTTTACTGTTTTCTAAAACAAATTTCTAGTAAAAATAATAAAAAAATTGTCTTAAATGAAACCTCATACTGATAGGCCGAAGTTCTCTAAAATCTAACACTCGAGTGCTGAAAATTTTGATAGAAATTTAAATAAAAAGAAATTTTATTTTATGTGCCCTAAAATGTACAATTTATACAAATATACCTACCTCTAATGATTTATTTGAAAAAAAAAATTATGATTGAAAGCTTATTTTAAATAAAATTATGATGAAATTATAATCTTTAATGTTCGTGAGTTGTTTACTGAAGTCGTAAACTTTTCAAAATCAATTTGATTTTAAATTGATCAAACTTCTTCGAACATGATTTGAACTAAAGTTCGAATATTTTAAACGATCAGGATTTAGTAGATGCCTAGTCCCACATGCCATTTAAAATGATCAAATTTATTTTAAACTAAAAAAATTGGGTCAACTTCATCAAAATTTTAGTCTCTATAAATCTAAAAGTGGATTTAGTAGATTTACTTTGAGATGAGTGCAATATAAATTTTAATTGATCTCCAATTATTTTGAGGCCATCTCAAAGCAAATCCAATAATTTGAAGATCCATCATGATCAAAATTTTATCAGGATATTCTAACTCGAATTTTTTTTCGATTTTATACTAAGTGTTGCAGAGATAAGGATACTTAGGTGGATGAGTGACTTTATCCTTAGAGATACAATACGAAATGAGCATATACGTGAAAAGGCTGGAGTAGCTCCGTGGAAGATAAGATCAGAGAGAATTGCTGATGGGGACATCAGCAGGAGATTCCAGAACGTCTATCACCAGAAGCATCGAAGATCGATGGCTACGATTAAGAGCTTGTATTTTTTTTTTCATGTATTAGCTTATGTTATTTCAAGTTGGATGATTGTACCCTTGCTTATGTATTATTTTGAGTTGTAGCACCGAGGGCATTTCAGTCATTTCTTTTCTTTTCTCTTTGAGGCCTATATATAAGGCCCATAGTTTTGTATTAGATTTAATGCTTGATTAATGAAAAATATTTCTGGCTTTCTTCTTTTGAGCTTGTGAGTTCTTGAGTGGTGAAGTCCCAAGGTGTGGGCAAAAGAAACACCCACCAGTCGTCGGAAGTGTCCCCCGCTCGTGGTTCAACTCCTTCCTTTGCTTCAATTCGCCAACCATCTTGTGAAAGCCTTCTTTTTTTTCTTTTCTTTTATGTTTTGGTCTGATTTGAGATTTCCTTCCAGGTTTGTCCGGACGAAATTGGGATCGTCCGGGACGAACAGTTAAAACATTGACAACCCGAGACATCGTCCTAGGACGAAAATAATTATCGTTCGTACGAAGGCAACCCGAGGGCACCGTCCAGGGACGGAATTAATTATCGTCTGTAAGATCAGCCTACCAAGGAGATCATCCCAGGACGAACCAAGGAAATCATCCGGACGATCAAGTTCTTTAAGTATCTGAAATAAGATATTTTGAAGAGATAGAAAGGGCAGAAGAGAGAAAACGAAGGGAAGAGGAAGAAATCCACGTTTTGGGCGTCTTCGATCTGTTTTCATCCGTCGTCGTAGTTGGGAAAGTTGATCGACTCGAGGTAAGGAACATTATACCTTTCTCAATTTTCAGAAATATGATTTTTTACGGATTTATTTTTAAGATTTTGTTTCCGTTAGCAGAAAACGGGTATATCTTTGCACCGGTAAAACTTTTACAGCGTAACTTTTGGTATGTTGTAGAGATTATAATTTTACATGTTTTGAGTATTTTCTAGAAGTTTTTCACGAGGTATTTTGAA